AAGCGTAAAAGACGGAAGAGCTGTAGTAACAGGAGGGGCGCTAGGGCCTACAGGCACGACTCGTGACTGCTGGAGGAAAGCCCTGGGACTTCCAAGGACACCGCCGCCCCGTTAATTTCTACCTTTCGCTGAGGGGTCCTCGGCAAAGCTCCGCTTCTCGCACGAGTACGACGGGCCCGTGCCCGCCGTCTTTCATACTGTATTTCATAAAAAGCAGGATAACCAAACGTAACCGACGTGCGCAGCCGAGTCGGCTCTCGAGACAGTGGCACAAGACATGGGTGGGAGGTGGGTGGGTGGTAGCGTCGTGGTGTTCACGCAAGAAATCAAAGCTAGTCGATGATGGGTGGATTTTGAGAGAGTGACATGTTGAGAGAGAGACAGTCAGAGAGAGAGAGAGAGAGAGAGAGAGAGAGAGAGAGAGAGAGAGAGATTGTCGAGAGGGGCTTGTTAGTTTTCGCCGTGAAGATAGGCCGCGGACTGTGCGTGGCGATTGGCATTGTGATTGAGGAGGAAGAAGTGGGAGAGGGGAGAGTAACGCGTGCTAACCGCCAGTTTGGACTTTTTCTTGAGTTTGTGTTTTATTTTGTTTGTCGTACCTTTCTTTTTCATTATTATTTTTTCTTTCTTTTATTTTTTTCCTCCTCCTCCTCCTCCTCCTCCTCCTCCTCCTCCTCCTCCTCCTCCTCCTCCTCCTCCTCCTCCTCCTCCTCCTCCTCCTCCTCCTCCTCCTCCTCCTCCTCCTCCTCCTCCTCCTCCTCCTCCTCCTCCTCCTCCTCCTCCTCCTCCTCCTCCTCCTCCTCCTCCTCCTCCTCCTCCTCCTCCTCCTCCTCCTCCTCCTCCTCCTCCTCCTCCTCCTCCTCCTCCTCCTCCTCCTCCTCCTCCTCCTCCTCCTCCTCCTCCTCCTCCTCCTCCTCCTCCTCCTCCTCCTCCTCCTCCTCCTCCTCCTCCTCCTCCTCCTCCTCCTCCTCCTCCTCCTCCTCCTCCTCCTCCTCCTCCTCCTCCTCCTCCTCCTCCTCCTCCTCCTCCTCCTCCTCCTCCTCCTCCTCCTCCTCCTCCTCCTCCTCCTCCTCCTCCTCCTCCTCCTCCTCCTCCTCCTCCTCCTCCTCCTCCTCCTCCTCCTCCTCCTCCTCCTCCTCCTCCTCCTCCTCCTCCTCCTCCTCCTCCTCCTCCTCCTCCTCCTCCTCCTCCTCTTCTTCTTCATGATTATCATTATTATTAACTATTATTACTAATAACTGACTATTATTGCTACTATCATCATTATTATCATTATCATTATTACTATTATCATTATTACTATTATTATTATTATTATTATTATTATTATTATTATTATTATTATTATTATCATCATCGTCATTATAATTAAGCGGAGGGCTAGTTGTATTTTTCGCATTGGGGAAGACGCACAGTCGCCTAATACGTTTCATTTTCGCAAAATAATAACAGGGTCAAGAAGATAGAAGACGCGCGCGCGCGCGCGTGCAAGGAAAAGTTTCGTCCATGGCGAATGGTGGGACGACGGTGATTTTCCTCTAAGGGGAATAAAAGCACGACATTGGGCAAAGTCAAAATAGGCAGAGAGAGAGAGAGAGAAAGAGAGCAACAGCAGCGGGTATTTTTAAAAGGAAAAGAAAAGCTAGAGTGCGGTCGAGGGAGCTTGAAGTGGTGGTAGGAGGCGATTAAGTGAGAGGAAAAACTTATAATGAATGATTTAATTTAATAATGGATGCGTTATTGTAAATACGGCTAATCAATTAATATTGTACATGTAGATATTTACTGTATGAAATAATTTATAACGATAAGACTCGAGTGAAACTGTCGATCAACGCTTTTTTATATGTAAAACACTAAGGAGACGTGCGTCGAAGAGCGCGCGCGCGCATACATACATAAGTACACTATACGCGATAAATGCACGCAATACACTTTGAGGACACGCATACGCGCGCGCACACACGCAAAATACTCGGATGGCGAGATCAACACAGAATTAGAATGTTGCGTCGATTTTTTTCCCCCTATTTTGATACTTTTCTTTCTCGTCAGTTTAATCGGAATATTTTGTTACGAAGAGTCTGGGAGAAAAGTCAACGCCGCCATGTTATATATTCATAGAAGAAAATGCATTTACCGTGTAGGTAATAAAGAATAAGTGAAAATACAAGGAAAATTCGAGAATCGCGGAAAGAATAATTTGTATATAACAATAAAGTAAAGGATGACGTAACAAGCGATAATGAAACTTTAAGAAAGTCATAACAATAAATTGACGTTGAGAAATAGGAAGACGAGGAGCTATTAGAATTGATAAAGTCAAGAGTAAATTAAATGTATGTTAGGAAGCAGACGTTTTATCGAGATAAACAACAATATCCAATAGGAAAAACATGAACCATAATTATTAAGCAAAGCGCATTACGATTAACAATTACACATTAACAATAATCATAATAATAACAATAATAACAATAGCAATAATAACAATAACAACAATAACAATAATAATAAGTAGATGAATTATTATTATTATTATTATTATTATTATTATTATTATTATTATTATTATTATTATTGATGTTGTTGTAGTTGTAGTAGTAGTAGTAGTAGTAGTAGTAGTAGTAGTAGTTGTTGTTGTTGTTGTTGTTGTGTATACGTAAAATATATTAATATTATTATGAATTTATGATCGTATAAAAATATGCCTCAAGCCTAACTTTCTATAAATGAGCAAAAAGAAAATGTAAAAAAAATAAAAATAAAAAAAATGCAAAGATATCGAAAACACGAAGATTAATTTTTAAATTGTCGATGAACGTCCTCGTGTGTGTCTGCGTCTGCCTATGCATGGACTCGGTTTCACCCGAAATAATGGCGCGCCAAGCTCCAAATAAAACAGAAATACTTATCAAAACACAATACGTTTTAATAATTTTACTCCAAGCTCGGCAGGCATTAATCTTCTTAAACATCGGATGTATTTATAATTTCGGTGCGGACATTTTTACAGAATTACAATCCGTGCGTCCAAAGCCCATTAGCAAACACGGAGTCTCCTAATTCCGCACTCTTAATGTCACGGCAATCCCGGCAGCAGCAACAACAACAACAACAACAACAACAACAACAACAACAATAACAATAACAATATTAATATCAAGAAGAAGAAAAAATAATAAAAATAGATTAAAAGAACAAAAAAAAAAAAAAAAAAAAAAAAAAAAAAAAACAAAAAAAGAAATAATACATTAAATTCTATGAGAGCATAGAGAAATTTCATAAGCGCGAGAATGATGCAAATAACATTTTAAACAAATGGAATCGTCGTCGATGTTTATAGTGAGTATAAAATAAAACTTTAGAATTCGCGCACGCGAGCGCATCGAAATTGAACATAAATCCATAGAAAGTGCAAGATTATTTACTAAAGAGAGGGGATAGAGAAAAAAAAACGCGAGCCAACGTGCGAGCCACGTCGCTCCACCACGTTGTGTTCCAAGTAGATGTACAAGAGCTAATGATACATATTCATAACTGCAACGTACGTTTAAAAATATTTAAAAATAGTCGAGAGCGAGTAAACGAGTTAAAAAAGAAGAGGCGGCGGGTTTTCTTCTTTTATTCTTTTTTTTTTCTTTTTTTTTTCGTAGCGCGCGCAGACGTGATATTTATTACAAACGCAAGGAGAAACATCGTAGTCACTGTACATATCCTCGAAGCCAGTCTATAACTGTCCTGGAATTCGCATACGCGAAATTAAAACTTAAAACCTCCTATTTTTCACTATACTCGCTCGCTACCGTCTCCTTTCGTTTTTTCTTTCTCTTTTTTATTATGTTTTATCTTTTATTTTTCTGCCTGTACGAGTATTAATGAAAAATTTTATTTTTTATTCTCGTTCGGTTTGCATGAATTATAATATTTTTAATGTGACGATTCGATTACGTACATTTCGACGTAAAGATGCATTTATTTAAACGGGAAAAGAAACATAAAATAGAAGAAATTCAAGAAGCTCTAGGCACAGCAGTAATTTCATATATATATATATATATATACATATATATATATTTTTTTTTTAACCAATGACAAAGCCAAGTATTATTATTCGTTTCATTGATTCACGTTTTTTTATTCGTGTTTTTTTTTTATATTTATTTTTTATTTTTTATTTTTTTTTATTATTATTACCCATGAAGATCTATTTTGTCAGTGAGTGATAAAATATTCGCTCCATACGCTATTTACTTTCCGCTTGTGGTGGTAGGCCAAGATTTTCTGCTTTGGAAAATTTTTCATTGTAAGGTAGAATCCGCTAATCTTAATTGTACTCTTAATCCGTGCGATTTACTGCCCGGCGACGTAGAGGCATTTTTTTTTTTTTTTTTTTTTTGCTTTTTTCTGACCTCGCGCCAAAACATGGGAGAGAGAATAATGAAACGGTCAATGTAATAATAAAGTCAAAAAAAAAACAAAACGAAAGAAAAAAAAATAAAATTAATAAAAAAAAAAAACAACAATTAAAACAGATGGAATTAGTCTTGTACTCGAAGAAAAATACTGTATATTTAAACAATACTTATCGTTAAATACATAGTTTTCCCTTAATTGTTCCGTTCATACAATTTAATCAAGTTGAAAAATTGTTCGCGAAGCTAACATTTGTTTGTTGCTATTTTCCTCATTTCTTTTAGTTTAAACAAAATTAATTGAACCCTAGTGACTTGTTATTTCCTTAAATATATTTTACAATTTTATATAGAAAATTTTGTTGCAATTTCTCAAGTCAAGCTCTTGCGCCATCTTGAGTAGCTGAAGTATCTATTGTTTCAGCTTGTTCGAATTTTCCTTGATTTCGCGTCATTCTATGGTGGTGGCCATTCGACATTCTTCATCTTGTCCTTTGAAGTGCAAAAAAAAAATTGAATCGCCACCATTACGTAACGCGACTATAAGAAAGCAATACTTTATAACTATCGTATAGTTAATTAGTATGTCGATACTACTACTTGCGAATTAAATAATAAACGAAGTCGAAAGTCGTTTGCTGCATGTGTATAATCGATAAGAAGAATGTTGGCATGAAAGTGAAACATGTTTGAAAAAACAAAGGAATACAAGTGAAAATTAATATATACACAGGCAAGTGCGTTGAGGGTGTCATTATCGAAATGAATTACTTTAAACGATGATCGGGCGATCCTGCGATGATCAAGAAATGCCCAAAAACGTCGAACTTTGTAAATAATTAGATGTTTAATTAACATTATCATTTATTCTTTTGACGCATAACGTTATTGGCTAATCGAATATAATTTAAGCGCGAACAAGTGAACGAGGTGATAATAAATTAACTATCTCAATATTTTGTAAGTCACTCATCGACGAAATAAATTTGCAATCTGCTGCGATGTTTTTATACTCGATGCGTAGATCGACGACAACAAATTTCTTTATAAAAACATAGATACTCGATACTTGTTCTGTAATACTTCTTGTTTTCGATTTAGTCAGAATATTAATTTGAATTAAATCAGAAGAATCGTCATATAATGAACAAACAAACAAAAAGTCACTCGTGGGATTGTAAATATAATTATAACGATATCGTCACGAATTTGTATATAAACAAATGAAAGATTCCACGGCGTTTCACGCATGATACACATTAAAAAAAAAAAAGAAAAAAGAAAAACACAAGAAACATGTGTAAACACGCGCCAGGTTTATTTTAATGACTATGCGTCGGTATAAATATGAATATATGAATATATGAATATATGAATATATATATATATATATATATATATATATTAATACATATGCATATATGTATGTGTGTATGTATGTATGTGTATATATATATATATATATATGTGTGTGTGTGTGTGTGTGTATGTGTATGTATGTATTACCATGTAATATTTAACAAGTAAGGTATACATATATTCTATACTCTTACACGCTAAGTAATCAATAAATATATCTATAAAAGTTCCCTGTGTTTGTGAATGTCTACCCATACACCAGTCCTTGCTTGACCTACTTTTTGCCGATAAAATAATACTTTGAATATTACAAATTAGCGTACTATTATTAATATAAATAGAAACAATTTTAAGTTGTGAAAAAACTCTTAACTTTAACAATTTATGAAATGTTTCAATCTATTGGATTCTAGTTACTTTATTTTCAGCAACAATTTATCCATGTATACACACACACGCGCACGCACGCACACACACACACACACACATAAATATATATTTATATAGATGCGGTATTCATATCTTTATATATCTTGTTAGTGAATTGAATTTTATTCTTTTATTGTCTATGCATTTTCATAAAAAGATTGAAGTATGATAATGTTAGTTTATAAATTAATATTTTCTTTCGTCCTTTCGGGATTTGTTAATCGCACGCGTTGATCGTTAAGATTACTCGTAGAGATAAATATTGGCAAAAAGCAGGTTTATCCTATCAATTCGTGAATCGTCTAAAAAAATTCCCAGGCAATTCCACCACATGTTTATAAATTTCCTCGGAAGAAAAAATTAATTTGAAATATGCTCTTCTATCGTCGGAGCGGCCGTGAATTCATCGAAACTTTCAGAAGGCACGAAAGCCTTAAACTTTTCATAATCAGGACAATAATTTACAAAAGTCCTAACTGTTTGGAATGTAATGATGCCTACGGATGTTAAGGTGATTGTGCACCTGTGATGAAAGTTGTTTTTCTCTAGTGAAAATAAATAAATCGACAAGATACGTAGAGATACATTATAATTAATAAATTGATTATAAAAAATTTAAATATTCTGCACATTTGGTTTTGTTCATTCAAATACTTGTGTTCATTTTGTGTTAAAAAGATTTTGTTTCAATACTTATTCCTTATGAATACGTATCTACAACCTCTTATTTGTCCTTGTAGATCCTCGTGGAAATTTTTCATTGAAAAATAGCATTTTAGCTTTACGATAATTTTGTTCATTATAAATTCAATAATTTTGTTTATGTTAGTATAGCCTTTTCACTACTTGTATGCAGCTCGTTCTGCATTGGCGACTCCTTTATTCTGCAACAATGATTAAAAAGATTTTAAAAAAAATTGTGCTTTACAATAAAGAAATTATTTTTGTGCCACTTGTGCTCATTTTAATTTACAAAAGATTCAATTATTATAGTCATTCTCAAGTGAAGTATGTAAAATTAATATTCAGTCATTTTTAAGTTTATCCCCATAGGTCTCTTTTTTAAATGTTTGCAATCTCCTAGTAAAATGAAAATTAGCATAGATATTTTGAAACAGAAAATAAAAAAATTATTCCTCTCAGTTTTCGTTCTGCAATAATTTATTTCACGACTTGTGAAAATCCAACAAATTTCTTCTTATAGTAATAATAGACATATGCAGATATCCATAAACGTAACAAAGTTCACAGTATTAATGGAAAATTATAATTTATTACTATTAATAAATTAATGGAATAAATTTCACCGATGAATCCAACGTTGTATGTACAAAAATATAGATTTAAATATTATTTTTTCAATCAAAAATACATTCTGTCCGCATTATGTAAATATGTGCATGTGTGTTTTGTGTTGTGTTCGCGCTTACGATGTAGCATTATTATATTTGTAATTAAAAATTAATAATTAACTGTTGGAAATGGTCATCGTTGATAAAAGGTAAAATCGAGTTTTGTTTTTTTTTTTTGTTTTTTTTTTTTAATTCATAGAGTTGATAGGAATTTTGAATCACTCGGTACGCCAATTTTTTGTAGGTAACATTAATTTTTATTCAATATACAAATAATTATTCTCTTTTTATTGCACATGTCTTTGTAATATTTCTATAATCGATAATATATCAACAAATAAGTATATTTTTTTACTTAAAATTAAAATATTTCACCAATATGTTACTATTTAATATTATTATTTGAATAATTGAAGCTACCTCACACTCAAGCAAAGATTAATAATTTTTTAATTAATTATAATTGAATAACTTTTGTTATTTGTTGATTATTACTATTAACATATTTACAAAAAATATATATATATATATCGATTGGAATTGTATAATTTATAATCTTATCAATTTGCTTAATGTACTTGTTACTCACATACAAGACTCTCCTTTATTAACCTACTTTTATTTCTACATATACACGCACGCACACACAAATCCAAATGGACTTATATACATCTAAGGAGTTTATCGTTACATTTACATCACTAAGTGAATAATGTTTGTCTTTGAAATTTTATTAAAAAGTTGCGCAGTTTTTGCAGTTATACCGCAAATGCAAATGTTTCGATGAAACAAATTTTTTCACTGTTAAAATACTTTATAGCTCGACTTATTTATTTCATCAAAACGATATTTTACATGCTATTGTCGTTTATTAATTTTTTTATTTTTATCGTAGATTGTCTATATTTTCATTTTTCATTTCATACTGTATACATTCTTACTTTTTCGACTAGCTAGTATTGATTATTGATTAGAAAAAGAGAAAAAATATTACAAGCAGTCTTCGTAACCATTATATTCTTAATAATATTTTACATTCTGCTTGGTTTCTAAAAAGTTTAGTAGATGAATTTATTACAGATAAATGAATTTTTATTTATCTACAATAAAACAAGTGATCCTTATCGTCAAACTTTGAAATAAAAGTATACTACTATAAATAAATACCTAAGAAATTTTGTTGTTGTTGGAATTATAAAATTAAATTTGTTAATATATTTGCCAGTTGATTACTATTTTCGATAATATTCTATTTTCAGCAATAAATATTTATTACAAATATTTATACGTAAAGTCAAATAAAATGACATTAGAATAAGATATGATTATTCCAAATCGAGATTTAATTTTTTATTGATGTCTAATCTACTAATGAAACGTGATGTTACATTGAAATAAAAATAAAATTGTCATATATATATATATATATATATATATATATATATATCAATATTCCTTTTAAATTACGTTGACAATAAATAATATTTTCTTGCCTATAATAATGACAATAATATATAATTGATCAACATAATTAATTAAGTTGTTTGTTTTCATGATTGAGCGAGCGAGCTTGTTTTTTAGACAGTTAATTCGGAAGAAGTTACCTAGATTATTTTCATTTCTCATAATCGACGATAGTTTTATTTACTATTTGAAAATTTAACATTTTCACGCTTTATACAAATTCATAAATATTCTCCTTCAATGTACAGTTTCGGCTGGCTAATTAAAATAATGTCACTAACGACAAAAATTAAGGCAGAACTTCGACCTCGATCGTTTATCTTTCGTAAGCGATATTGTTAGGCAAATTAGACTAGGCAAATATCATATGTATGTAAGGTTTCTCTCTTTTGTTTAATATCTTTTTTTCTTTTTGTTTGTCATTTTTTTTTTTATTTTGGTAATGCTACACTAGATAAATCTATCAATATTTATCGATTTAGCGTAAAATGATAAAATAAAATTGATATTCCAAACAATAGCGAGCTTTAAGATATCCCATTGTTTAATTTCTCGATTATAAGACAAAGCATATATTTAATACAATGAAAGATATAATTGGATGACACGTCGTATATTAAAAAGAAAAAGTCGCTGACTGTAAATATTTTAAATCCATTATTGATCTATTACTGATACTAGCGATAGTGAACTACTCGATGCTGTTGCCTTGAACAAAGCTTAACGATCAGTTACGATGGGTTCATACTTTCGTACTTCTGATTCATATGATTCGAGCGAATAATAATACTCTAACAAGATCGACAATTACCATCACAATGACATATTCATGGCTCAATCATCATTAATTACAATTATATCATATTCAATTATTATATATGAACTCTAGTTATATATACACGTGTCATTACTCTTATTATTACAATTATCATAGGCTTATAATATATTTTTATTTTATTTTCACTATCTCGTGTATGAAGAATAAGATATCAAACATATTGGCATCAATTATTCAGGAATAACCAACGATAATAACCAGCAATATCTTAATAATAATCTAACTGTTAGCAATTTCGTTATTGCTAAAATTTCTTACCTACAATCTTATAATTTTAATAGTGCACCCTATAAATTGACGGATGTGCATTTTCCTTTGCATCATATCTTTAGAAGCTCGAGAAGCAAGAGACACTTTTCCTTCGACTCTTGAAGATGACCTACTTTTAAAATGAATATAAATCATCCGTTAAACAATAATTGGCATTTAAGAAATTCATATCAATACAAATAAAATTAGTTATGTAAAAGTTAATTGGTTTTGTCAATATGAATCACAGTATATAAATCATACTATCAAAAGAACCAATTTCAAATTATAAAAATTATCTGCGTATATGAAAATATATGAATTGCAAGTATATAAAGACTAATTAATCGGAGATCGGCTGCAACGCTTAATCACTCTCCATTATTCCAAATAATTATTTATAGACCATTAACTTCGATTAGAGATAATTTTATGATTTTTAATACAGAAAAAAGACATATTATTGGATAAATTGTACTAATTGTCATTGTAACTAAATTACAAATATTATGATATTAGGCTAAAAATGATTATCATTAAGAAATTATTATTTAACGCGAGTCGGTAAAAAATTGTAATGCTATGTTATACATGAAAAATGAGTTCACCAAGTTGACGTCGATTTATTTAATCGAATCAGTTGGTAGTATTTATAGTCTCTATTGAGCAAAAATATTGACAAAAATGTAGATCCGTTCGTTTTTCCTTGCTTTGCTTGTTCAACAGACATATCGTAATATGCATTGCGTTTGTCAATATATTAACAATCGATATACAAAATAACAAGACCATTACAATTGAAGCCTTAAGATTAGAAGAAGATATTTGCACGATAATTGTAGCAATGACTTTGATCTCATCGATAATCGCATTTCGATTCAATGTTTCTCAAACTCGTATATAATACCTTTCAATTTGTCGATCTCGCTTAGATTATCTTCATGTAGATGACAATATATCCAAAACATTTTGATTTGAATCTTCCATTTGAAAATCACATCATACGTATGAATGACGTTATATAATACATACAGAGTTGAAAAAAAAAAAAAAAAAAAAAAAAAAAAAAAAAAAACAAGATTTAGAAGCTGATTACTAATCCTTGGTAGACTCTTATGTAAAATACTTTGTTCCTTCATAATTATATTGTAGGCTAGCCTCGATATTATTTTTTCCGTATGGTGGGTTAGATGAGACAGTAGATGAGCCTTGTAGGTAAATCAGAAACGAGTTATCGGATAAATTTAATTTTGTACCCTCGAATCTCAAATAAAAGTATATATAAAATATATTCTGCAACAGCAGGGAAAAGTCAATTGTATTTACCAAAAATGAAAACGAGTATATATATATATATACACACACACACACACACACACACACACACACACACACACAAAATGCTAGATCAATTATCTACATTCCGTCGTCTGCTTCTCGAACTCCTAAAAGACATCGAAGAGATACGCGCGCCAATGGAATCTACAACGTCCAATTTCTCTTCAAAGTGCCCATTCTCATACACGACAGGGCGTTTATGTGATATTGAAGTACCGCGCGATCACGTTCCTGTACCCGATTCACGTATCAGTTGCGAAGATATTCTCAGCTTGCAGACAATAACCGGCAATTCATTCGGCAGCAAACGAGTTAGAACGAACTTTCTATCAAGATCGATACAGAAGGCACTAAGCACCGCTCTATAAAGTAAATTATAAAGTGGCAAATAGAATAAAAAATTCCCCAACACATACGTAGAGATATATTGAGCGCTCTCTCTCTCTCTCTCTCTCTCTCATTGAGACAAATGAATTTTAACGAAACGAGTAAAATATCCAAGGACTTTTGAAAAAAATCCATTGATAGTTACAATTCTTAGCATGAAGAATATGAATAGTACTATCCAAAACAAATTTTATTTATTTAAATGGGCGTACGAGTCTAAATCTAGGATTAAATATAGATAATAGAGAAGCAAAATGTTGAATATAAATCAAAATCTATAGCTATTTAATAAAGTCGCTTGTTCTGTCAAACATTGATAAAAAAGAAAAAATATTCCAAGCTTAACTCAATGTCAGATTTTTAATTTGATAAGAAGGAAAAAATAAAAATAAATGACGATAGAAATAATTTAATGATATATCGTTGTTTTAATAAAGGATTTATCCCATTTCTTATAGCAAGTTAATAAAATCAATAATAAACATTTAATTTTTAATAGATATTAATTTCTCAATAAGGTATTCGAATTATGAATAATGTGTGTTAATTTGTAAAAATTTAACTATTTTTTAATTAATTCTAAATTTAAAGAATGCGTATGGTTTGTGTGACAAATTCCGAATATTTATTAGAAAGTGTATTATCATAGTAATTATGAATCTGTATTACAAGTGTTCAAAACTATAACTATATTACAAGTATACAAGTGTATAAGATTATTCGTGAAATGTAATTATAATAAGAAATTGTCCTTCAACTATAGCCATTGGTAAATTAATGAAATAGAAAAAGATACGATTAAATATTTTTTATGCAATGTCAGTAATAAAGCCGATATATAATTAATTAATAAATTTGCATAGCTTACGAATGGTCTTACAGTTTATTACAAATTAACGAGTATGTACAAACTATAACTTGTTGGCATTAAATTGCATGCCCATTGTCAACTCGTTAAAGAACTATAAATTATTAACGAAAAAATATAAAACTATCGTTAATTATAAAAGTGTATTTATAAATTTTTCAAATTTCTATATATTAAAATTATTTACAAAAAAAAAAAGTATAATTATTCGCAATTTTCAGTTCACTCAAAACTCAACTGATTACAATTCTTTTTTATTTATCAAAGAGCGGACTGGAGAAGGGAAGGGGGAAACGGGGAATCTCATAGTAGAATATCCATATCGGAAGTGATGTAATATATAGTGATAGTTTTTGTTAATATATATATATTCGAAGTTGGTTTAAAACGTTTAGAAATTATAATTATATCAAATTATATAGAAATTTAACGTTTCACGCTGATAATGCGAATTTGCAAAATTTCAATTAGAAAATGACTTATAAAATTACATGAATTTTACGACAAACGGTTAATCAAATTTTGTAGTAAAAAAAATAGTACAGCATTACTATATTTAAAAAAAAAAAGAAAAGTGATTGAGCACGGACTATGAGTTACAAGATATTGTAGAATCTTGTAATTTATTTTTCAGTCATTTTTTGTTAAGGGCACAAACACGTAACTTACAAGACCGGGAGATGGTATTACAGAAATAATATCTACTGCTGGAGTAAAAATCCAGACTAAATATATTATACATAATAATGTATAATGCATAAGTTGCATAAGCTGAAAGTTTTAAGACTTAAGAGAAAGATCGTGAGATCGTTATTTCTTTCCGCAAAGAAACATTATTCTGCTCTTAAGAAACTTTTCATTCAGTGCATAGGGCACGACATTTTTACAAATAGTTTTGAAACCTTAATTATTTCAATGTTAAGGCGTCTTGGCGGCAATACGCTGTACTTAAATACAATGTACTAAACAATAAACTGAAAATCCAGTTGCATGACGAGTTTTATCCGGGAGTTGTCAAAATGTACAGACGAAATATGACGAAAAGATATAGCATTAGGAAGTGCAAGAAACAAATTAATTAATAACTTTATAAACCATTAGACTACGTAAGAAAGGTAGGTTGGTGCTAAAAGTTCTGCTATTACGATAATATTGTTTAAATTGATGGTACATTAAGATTTGCATAGCATTTATGGGAACGCAAAATTCCAATGATAACCTCGGTTTTATAATTTTAATGAAGCCTCGTGGAATGCCCTGATTATGTTTAAAAAACATAATTGAAAAAATAAGTTTCTATTGCCATCTATCGATATTAATACTATTTTAAATTTTAACTATTACAAAGCAATGACTATGGAGCAGTATATCGTTTGGTAGGAAAGTTGCTTTAGGTATAAAGGACTTCCAAAGATTAAATTTAATGATAAATCACTGCCGCTTCGATTAATCGATTATATCGGTTATAATTTATCTCTATACTTTTATAAAGTGAGCGCTGTTCGCTAGTTAATAATTAATATAGCTTTCGGCCATTCAAATAAATTATCATTTTTTTCGTGGTTTTATCTTACTGGGTAGATTCCAATCTTTAATAGAAACTTGTTAATTGTTAATCAATAAAATATTATTTAATAACAATGTAAATGATTATAAAATAGAATATTATCCGACTAATTGATTAAATATTAATATTACATAAATAAACAATAATCAAATGACAAATTATTAAACATAGAAAGTAATGTCATTTTCACGACATGTAAATGTAAATGCAGTTCGTGTCCAAAATACAATCTTAAAAATGCATTATAAAAATGTATATTATTATAGGAATGTTCTAGTCAAAATCTAAATCCACTTGAAAGTAAACTTTCGCCGTTCATTAAAATAAACATAATATCACAAAAATCGAGTTTTGTTGATTGTAAAAACGAAAAAGGTAAATATTAATTGATAACCGAATCATTTATATAGACAAAGCTATTATGTAGACAAACTTTCATCACAATCCTAAAAATGATAAGTTTTACACATAAAACCGATGACATAATGGCAATTTCATGCCTTACCGAGTTTACATAATTTTAGCAAAATTTTTATAATCTATAATAATTTTGTTTAAATATATCGAATATTTTTCTACTCGTATAGTGTTTGAACATTGTTACTTTTTGACATTCAAACTTACTTTACGCCTCAACTTAATGCACTACTGCTTTTACTTACTCAAGTCCAAGACTCCAATTAATACTTTGCACTAGGAATACTATAACTGGTTGCCAGGCAACCAGCCACCGCAGCCAATCTAACAGTTGTCCATACAAAACATGAGGTTTCTCCCATCTTATAATATGCTTAAGGTTAAAATATAGTTGATCAAACATTAGACTAGCAAAAAAGAATATCTTCGAGCAATGTCAAAAGGATACGGATTATGAAACATCTTTTTCAAATCGACTTTCTCCTTACAGTAAGGGCAAATTTGCTTTTTTCCAACGATGCACCATCCTCGAATACAAAATTCGTGGAAAACATGATTACAACTAAGTTTATAGGTATTTTCAAGAACACCCTCTTCGTGCTCCGATACTAGAAGTTTATTTCCACATACTGCACACACATTAGGATCTAGGACTCTAGTCGGCATGCTTCCTGGATTATAATACTGCAAATAAAATATATTTAATAATCATCCACTCGATAATACAACAAACTCTCCGTTCTCATTTCTATAAATGCCTAATATTCTCATACAAAACTAATGCAATTATTGTAAACGACTATCTGAGAAATAATTAAAACAATTTTAAACATTGCCGTTCGATGTATTTAATATCATTGATTCATAATCTACTCACTCCAATGTGCGCAGCCATTTTATCGGCACATATTTCTGCAACGTCTCTACCTAGGACTCCAAAATACAGACCATAAAACAGGAACAATAATCCAAAATCCATCCAGACCTGTGGTTTGTTATCAAAAACAAGATTTAAGCCAAAAAATGTCGCCAATATAACAAAGTAGCCAATTATTCCCAGAAAATAACTAAGTATATAAATAAAATAGAACCATTTATACACTAATCTGCGAAGAAGTAGAATAATTATTTTTAAATTAACGATTAACAAACCACATTTTCCAATGTGGTAATATATTTTATTTCAACTTTAAAACTATCGTAATTTAACGAACCTTGGTGTTGTGCCTTCCATTGGTCGTTGAACGGTCTTTCTTACTATCAGTCCCGTTATACAGGAGAATACTAACCATAAGAATATGAATCTCCACCAAAGATTTTTTACGGCTACGCACATTGGAATGATCCACATGCCTATTAACGTTACAAGCTGGAAAAATTGCACAAAACATATTTAATGTAGATAGACAGAAATCCTATTAATTTTGTATTTATTAAAATAAATAAATCAGAAAAAATTAAATGAAAAAAAAAAACAATTCACTACATCAATTTGAAAAAATAAATTACAAGCCATTAATCATTGATATTATCTACATTTACTTATGACAAACTTATTTAAAAGAATTAATTTATCAGATATTTGGTAATTTTGCTACTCTTTGTATGTAATATGTTATAATGTATACAATGACTTGCCGGATAGTTCAAAATATAATGAGAATGTCATTATCATTTCGTTAACATAATTTTGATAATCGCTGTTTAATACCTGATAAGATTTGTAATGCCTTTGCTTCCATGTAATAAGAATAACTTCACTAACCATGACTGTAAATATGAGAATCAATACCATTTCCATATGCATGGACTCGTGTCCACGATGTTGCTCTTGCATTTTTATATGCTCTAACCTAAAAGAGATAGCCGTTATATTATAAAACAATAGGACACTATGTAGAATAAATAATGAAATTATTGTTAATTAACTGGACAATTGTAATACCTCCATTTTTCTTCTGGTGTAATATCAGCTTCGCTCTGCAAAATTAACAACATTGCTTATTACAAAAGTATCAACGAGTTGAAAAAAGTTTCATAATTTTTATAATACTTTAATTTTAATTGTAAATATATCATTAATAATTTATTTTACAATTACAGGAACGGCCCCTTTACATAACAATTTTGTAATTGATAATATTATCGTGACTTTAAGGTTAGCCGAGCCTGTACAATACCACAATTCACCACTATAATATTCTATGTTTGTCGGTTGAAAGTCCAAAACTTACTTTATTAAGCACTACGTGGACATCCATGGTAAATATTATCCGATTAGTTAATTATTCGAAAGAGAAATATAATTTACGTTAGCATGAAAAATATTGTTCCGACTGCAGTCCGCGATTCGTTGCAGTCAGCCGCTGATGAGAGGCGAAACAAATTGAAACGAACTTCGATAAGGTCTGGTTACTTTTAATATTACAATTCTAATCGACCCATTGAAAATACCTACGACCATAGAGATTTTCATCCACAAAATAGGGACATTCCCTGTTAATCTTCATCCAATGAGATTTTTACTTTTCTCTTTTCTTTTGCGATGCGCAATGGCAAAATCATCATAACGAATGCCTTCATAAACTTTGTGTTTATTCAATGTGCCACCCGATTTAACAATGAAATCCCATTACATCGATTTATTAAAGAATTAAGAGGATATATACATAGTTTTCAAAATATTTTCTAAATAGCATTAAAGAAACGACATTTTGATTTTTTTATTTCTTAAAATATTTTACTTTCATTTTAATTCGTATCTACGCACAATGATACAATAACAATATAATTATGTACCAGAAAAATCGTCGAAATCTCTATTTATCAATTTTTTCAAAATACCTATTCCTATAATCGAGCTCTTTTTTTTAACGGTCTCTTATAATAATAATAATAATGCCAATAAAATAGATACATTTTTATTATATCAATATTTTGCTTACTGATTAAGTCCATTGACATTACCATTTCAAAATTATCAGAAAACTATTTAGAAGAGAGAGAGAGAGAGAGAGAGAGAGAGAGAGAGAGAAGAAAAAAAAAAAAGAATAAAAAAGAAAAAAAGGACCGAAATGCCGTATTCTCATTCTCATGGACACCAACTACATTGCGTCTGCACGTGACAAATTAACATTCACACGTCTCTATTTAACTGGTCAAAAGAATAATCAAGTAAAAATTTTAAACGCTCGTACGTAATTGTGTATAAACTGAGGCTTTCTAAGTTGGAATGGACGATTATTAATTGCAGGTGCAATAGTTTATAACAGTGTCGACTATCCGATTGACTTCCCCCTGACTGAGCCATCCATCGATAGAAAATATCTTGAAGTCTTGGCAAAAGACAATTCGAATATTGGAGGCAATTCGAGAGTTGGACGGCAAAAGACGAGACATTCCCAGTCTCCTGGACTCGATTCTCCAAAGAACAGAGAACGTCGGCAATAATCTGCACCTAACCCCTCTAAAAGACGCCGCGCTGCCCCTCGCAAAATCGAAAACCGCGCGCGTCTTTCCTCCACGTCGGTCGTCGTCGCCAGGCGCAATCTCGCGCCTCACAGCCGAGTTACTCGGGCGCGCGCACTCGGCCTCTCTCGCCTCCGCGGCTCTTTCACCACGTAGAGGGGGATACGAACGTCGCCCGCTGGCGGGTTGCCTCCCCGATCTCTCCGCTACGTCGCTCAGTCTCGTCGAGGACGCAGTCGGCTGCGACGCCTGAGATGAGCGTCCGTCTCGCGGGGCCCCTCTCCTAACGTCCGATTTCAAAGAAATCATAATAAATAAAAAGGAAGGATAGCGCGCACAGTAGCCAGGAGAGCGACTGGACTAAACAAGCGACTCGCGCGCGCGTGTGTGACACTACGGGCGAAAGGAGAGAGAGAGAGAGGAGACAGCAGTGGTGTGCGAGAGGTATATTAATCGCGGGTGTGCGCAGGTGTCGGCCTGTAAACCCTCTTTAAGCGAAGCAAAGTTCGGCAGGCTGGGGAGGGCCACCCCCCCTCCCCAAGAGGAAATAAGTGCTGCAGATCGAGTGAGAGGGGCTTTGTAAGCACGCACGCACGCAGGCACGCACGCACGCACGCACACGCGCATACGCGCACGCGCACGCGGACACCTACGCAGCCAGTGCCCCGTGGTGTGTTTGAAAATTCCTCGAAGCGCCAGTAGGAGAGAGAGAGAGCACAGTGGAGTGAAGAGTGGCTGGGAGCGAAGCGGTGAGGAGAGAGAGAGAGAAAGAGAGAGGAGCGGAGAAGAGTGAAGAGGAGACTTCGATTGTTCCATTCACGGTGAGTCTGCCCTTCGTCGGTGCCGCTTTTTTTTCTTTTTTACTTTTTTCCACCATCCGGAGATTACCTTGGGACTGGGGCAGGAGGGAGAGGCTATCCTCGGTGGAAAATCGAACGTCTTCCCCGTCGTCGTCGTCGTCGTCGTCGTCGTCGTCTAACGTGGTGTAATTTCTTTTTCCTTTTTTTCTTTTTGTTTTTTTTTTCTTTGGTTTTTATTCTATTTTTATTTTTACCTGACTTAGACCATTCGGCTACTGCACATTGGGACAGTCCAGGTACCAGTGTCCACTGACTCGCTCGGATTAATTATGCCGACGTACGTTAAAAGCCCTCCCATCGACCTCCCCGCCAGCGTCTGACCATCCAGTAGTCCCTCGCACCGACCCTCGGCCACCCTAATTTCACCATTGATCGTCTGAACATTCGACATTGCTCATGGATTCGGGAGCGATTGATCGGAGTTGCGAGCTTCGCTCATTATTAGGTTGTAAGGTCGTCGCGTGCCTATTTGTACGCGTAATTTATTTGTCTGACGTTGACGGTGCGCTGCATAACTGGCCTTTGGCGAGGAAAAATTTGAAACGAGCGTCATTCGCAAGACTTCACTCGACTTATCGCATCCTTGTATTCCAACTACATCGACCTCAAGTTTATAGTTTACTTAGTGCTCTCTTATACTATTTTAATACTATTTTCCTGCAATTTACCAAGGGTGCTCCATGCGGCTCCATTATTCTTCGTCTTAGGTTCGCCTGGTGACGCGCACTATTTTTGCCTAACGAGTTTATCAGCCACTGTCCTCCTCATTGCATTTGCGAAATATAGCCTTTGGCATTCATTTTTAATGCTATACCTCCCCCCCCCCCCCTCTCCACCAACCCCCCAACCCCCCAACCCACCCCTCTCCTGTTAATTAATTTCTCGAGATTACGATTGTAGGTTGTATGTGAATTATATCAAAAATTTGCTCGATGCGATTGCCAAGTCCCGACATTTCGCTATTATTATCGATAAATCGTTCGTGTGGACGGATGTTAACCGCGAAATATTCAACGCCCCAACTTCAAAACCAATATCGATTTTTATGAATCCTTGAGCGGATATCCATTTTATCTAATAAATCCACTTTTCTAATAAATCCTGCAAATTGGCAAAAACTTGAAAGCAATACAATAGTATCGAGACAGTCGTTTAGCCGATAAACTTAATAGCAGACTTTCTGCCGAAATTAGCAAAAAATGTTATCGCTAATGATAAAAAAATAAAAAAATAAGAAACGGAAGAAAATAAAAAGGAAAATCGAAGTGACGTGACACAGCATTCTCGTGTACAAATATAATATTACATTTTTCGTGTATGTGCATACTAATGTACACAATTGGAAAGTGCATTCCAGCATACTTTCAACATAACTAAAGTTTAAAGAGCTTGAATGAATAAAAAGTGCGACCTTTAAATTCAGAGGCTTCCTCAACTTTTTATTTCCAACACATGGATAAATATAGAATGCACGCGCATGTAAATAAAGTAATGGACAGATCGCATTCGATGGTTAGGCGACAATTTAAAGTTCGGAATAATGTTTTCGAATCTTTATTATTTATACGGATAAATAAAGTTTTATTTTTTTTTTGTAGATATTATTGAAGCGTATAAATATATTGGATTTTCTTTATTAGATCTATCAAAATTGCCCTACTTTATCGCTCATTTATTATTATAAACTTCGTATTTTTCAATGTACACATGTTGATTAAACGTTATTTAAATTACTTTGTGTTTTTTTTTTTTTTTTTTTTTTTTTTTTTTTTTTTTTTTTTAAATCAAAATAAGTTGCATAATACGTGCATGTGTTGATAGTGCAAAAATAAAAATCCTTATCCTGATTAATTAAACGGGTTTCGATATAATGTAATAATAGCAAACGTGCAAAAAATTTAAAAGAAGTCATCGCATTTATAGTAGTTTAATCTTAGATAAATGACATTAAATTATTCAATTAAAATTTTTATTCATGACATCGGTTTGCTTATTGGATTATCTACATTTTGCAGCATCATTTCTTTATCTACTAATATCCTTCTACACAAGCCTTAAGTACTGATAATGATTTCTCATTTTAAAATACTTTTATTGCAAAGGTTTATCGATAATTGATTCTTTAGACTCTTCATTCAAACATTTATGTTAAATATTTCAATTGTGCTAGTGCATTATGTAATTTTTTTTTTTTTTTTTTTTTTTTTTTTTTTTTTATTTATAAACCTCAAAATTAAACTCAAATGACATTTGCATGAAAAAGTTTATAGTACTTGTGTGAAATGCACATTGAGATGGATGGAGGAATTTTTTAGTAATTTAGTTACCAATTAGTTAAAATTATTTAATTGGATTTCAAACCCGTGCGTTAAAAAGTATCGAAAATTCAATTTTTTTAGTAAACTTTAATGAACGACACTTGATAATAATTGCCAGTCGATAAGAAATAAAGGTTACGAGACGGACAGAGTGGATAAATTTTATGGACATACATGAAGTTTGCATCGATAAGTTTTCCCGCGATTTATCTAAATCTAAAATATTATTCACCTTCTTAACCAGATTTGCGCTCTCAAAATTCTTTTACCTCCCAGCATTACGAATTTGGATCCACAGCTTGTGTCATTGGGAATTATGAAGTCGTTGGACAAATTTTCGTAATTATCTCGGCTTATTAAAATACACGTTTTGTTGAGCAGTGAGTAAATTTGCAACGTAACGCGGATTAGCGCATTTGTAAAATTTACCAGATGATGCTAAGCGTCATGATTTATCGCGCAATAAACCAAACAAAATGAAAGAGAGAAAAAAGGAAAAACTATTATTGCTTCGTTAAAACAAAAAAAAAAATCTTATTATTTTATATATCTAAAGAATATTAAGATGTTTCTTCAATCTGCAATATTGTACTTGGAAGTTTATACTTAGTGATT